ATATAACAGACTATAACTTTCAGAAGAGAAACACCCAAAGGGTCTTCTACAGCCCTTCCCTTTTAGACATATGCTTGTTTTTTACAACTGGTGTGGTTATGGCAGGAATCAAGTATGGAAATAATGAAATCTGAGCTGGATTTTTACCCCTCTTGCTGAATCTACTGTAATATTCTGCTAAGGTGCTCCTTAAGCACTTCTACTTGGTGCTGATGATCCAGGCCTGCAATTTTTACATGAGCTTCCCTGGTACTGTTTTGAATGCAGATCTCTCTTATAGTGAAGTAGCTTTGGGTTAGGTTTCTTCCCTTCTATGTGAGCTTTTCGTGGTGATCAGATACAGGCATAAGGGAACTACAGGAACATTAAACTTTGGGAAAATAAGTTTTTGAGAAGTAGCTTCAATTGGGAGTAAAATGGTAAAGACAGGAGCACAGGGGCAAGGGAAACACCTTAGTTCTTTCTCTTCATCATCTTTTCCTTGTGAGTATCATTTTAGTCATCCAGAAAAAAAAAATAGAGTAACCTAGAGTATTAGGTTTCATCCTAATATTGCAAATTAAGAACTGAAGGTTCCTAACAAGATCTGCACCCCATACACATCAACTGGTTTGCCCAAACCTAGTCGGGGAGTTCTGCAGACGTCGGTTGAGCTGAATGCTGGTGTCCTGTAAAGGAGCGAGGAGTATTCAGCTCAGTCTCTGTGCTTTGCCTGCTGGGAAAATCCGGTTTAATGCCCCATGTCAGAGGCCAGCAGAGAATCCAGCGTGCATATTGAGTACCTGATATATTCACAACCTAGTCCCATTTCTTAGGGCTTTGCCAGGTATTGTGCCATGGCTAGGACTCAGGGAAGCGGTGAAAGCCCCATTTACCTCAGATAAGTCATTGGTATGGAAGCAAAATAGTTCACAGGGAGGAATTTAATACTTTCAGTAAAATGTGCTAGAATATCTAGGTTTTTACTTTGCAGAAACCAGACTCCATTTAGGAAATGTGAGTATTATATCAGCCTTTTATCAGTTCTAACTTTAACATGTGGCTAATAATTTATTACTTGTAGAAGTAAAAACTTTCTAACACTCCTTCAGGGAATGTGCTGTACTTTTCATTTCCTTGACCTTCTAGGTTTTCGTCATTATTTATAGATTACTGCAATATATTAAAATGATTTTCTGAACAAAAAAAAAGGGAAAAAAAATCTTCCATTGCAAACAAAATCAGAGGGGGCATGCAGAGCGTAATTTTTATCAACAGATGTGCTTAATTGTTCGAAATAACTGCAGAATACTGTTTGGGTATGTTTGAAATAAAAATATTGAACAATACAAGTTTTAAATAGTTCTGCTGTAATTTATGCATAGGATATGCAGTACACTTAGTGAATTCTTTTGCAATTTACTCCTAAAGTAATGTACTATTCCATGCAATGAATTTATGTGACTTAAATAATAAACCTGGTAACTTTAATTTTACTATGAATATTAGTGACTGGATGCAAACTTCAGATTGCCAAAGACAGATGAAAAGCGAATTTCAGGAGATCTAACAGTAGGTTGAAAGGATAAAATACTGAACCTATGAAACCAATGGGAGTTCATTACTGAAATAATAATACGTCCACCTTATGTAATGCTTCTCTACCAGAGGAACGGATGAAAGTCAAAGAGGAGAAACAGCTGGAGAATAGCTGGGAGGTATGAGGGCTGCAGTGAGAATTTGAAACAATCTGCAGAATCCCTGAAGAAATGAGAGCTAGGTCAAAGCAAAGGTCTTAGTACTATTAGTACTTACTACTCAGTACTATTTCCACATCATAAAAAATTTGCATTTAGTCCGTGATCAAAACCCATTCACTGTGTTTTGGTTCCAAGTCAGACCACTAATTGGAAGGGTCCTGTACTGCATTTTCATGTGATTCTGTCACTCTCTGTCTGGTATCCCTAGCTGATTTGCAGAGCAGGATATCTATCGACTTCCCCAAACAAAGCAGCATGGTGGGGAGTTTTGTGGGTCCCTTCATTATATGGTAGAGTTGTTGCTATATCAGAGTAGCAGTTAGAAGCTTAAAAAGAGATGTCATGCATTGGTGAGGGCTGAACAACACGGTTTCCCCTGGAAAATGCGTGCTGTTCCTCTGCTGCTTCTAGGATTTAGATTCGGGGAAAAGGCTTTGAACTAAGAGAAGCTGGATGCCAGGCACCTAAACTGCTCTTTTAATTAAGTCTGGTTATGAGATGATATGATCTTGGCAACAACAATATCTGCTAATTGTAACTGCTTGTTCTGAATTTGTTACTCAGTTGAGTTACACAGGAACAAAATGTTCCTCTCAACATACTTTTTCCCTCCCTAGTAATACAATGAATCAGGAAGGACATATTCTATGAAAGCTGGTGCAGCTCAGACCCAGCTATAGGAAGAGATTAAGTTAGAAACAGAAATATATGCTATGGTCCTGATTCTGCTGAAAGTGCAAGCACGCACTTCACTGTTAAACACTGGTGATTTTTTGTTTGTTTGTTTGTTTTACCTCCGTGTTTCAGCATATTCTTAGACTGTGTTTTGGAAGAACTTACACAAGCTTGACACTGAGTCAAGGTTTGGATTGCTGTGAATTTGGATGCATGTTATGTCCACAACCCCACCTACATCACAGAACCTGTTGGACATTGAGCTGTTACAAGTACTTGGGCAGTAAAAGCTCCGATATGTTTCCAGCTATCTACATGTTTAGAGCAATGTGGCTGGGCTAATTTTCTGTGGGACCATGTTGAACTAACTCCTGAACTAGCAAGAAAACTGTTAATTAGGAAAAGCAAATCAGTTGCACTACCTAATTGTTTGTATTTCCAAAGAGTGTGTCAGTGGGGAGAAATGTCTTTTTAAAGATGTGGCTATTCTGCATCAGGATACGTGTTCTAGCAGGGATCAGTCAGCAGGGGGCAAGCACTGTCTTTGGCTCTGCCAGACCAGAGGGGCAGAAGTGGACTGTGCTGGGTATTGTGGCAGCGTGCAATTGTTTTTCCTAAGAAACTGACATAACTCTAAAGAAGTATAGACTCTCCCAGAGAAATGCAGGTCGCATCACCGTGAGTAGGACCGTGGAGAGGTCTGGGTCATGGTCCAGATCGGGGTTGGATTTTGTCTCGTTTACCATCTAAGTAGTCCTATTGTAGAGAATTGCTGGCAAAAAATAAATGCTAATTGCGAAAAATAAAAAATCAGATGGACCGATGCATAAACCAGCAGAAATTCCACCCTTTATGTGGCAAATATAAATGCCTGTCATCTAGTGTCGACTTGTTCCAATTGTGTTGGAACATCCCATCTATAATCCGCTAAAGTTTCTCTGGTTTAAATCATAGGGTCAATAGCAAGATAAATCCAAGAGATTAATTTGAGTCACGTCATCCAAATTGTGCCAGCAACTGTGCTTTTCTGTACTTAAGCTATGCAGCGCAGTGAGGATAGTATCTAAAAACTGAAGCTCCCAAATGCCTGCATGAAGTTGCATAACTCTGCAAGTGACTGTGTTCGTGTGTCCACGTGGGAGACAGGTCACAATGCCTGGAAGTATCCCCTGGGCTCCAAACTGCACCGTACTGTGCAAGAATGGTGCCTGCTGAAAACTGGAACTGAATCGTCACTTCACTGAGCTTTGCTCCATCACAAGGTCATGGGGACCTTGGTAAGATTTAAGGAATGGAATAATGAAAGCTGAAAATCTGATTAAAAAATAATTGAGGCCTTGATTCATCTCAGCACTTAAAATACATGCCTGACATTCAGCGTGTCAAAGTTCTGCGGGTATCAACAGGCCTGCTTACCAACTGAGGACCTGTGAGCTGACGCAGGCCCTAAACACACAGGTGTTTGCACAGCCCTGGCCTTCATGTCTTGGTATCAGTTTCACTAACTGCATTCACAGCATCTAAAAGGTTGTACTGTAAAAGATCATCTAGACTATCCCATGAAGTAGTATTGTTGACTTCTGTGTAGTCCTATCGCTTTCTTCTGGCTATACTTGGATATCCCAAAAGGGACATCTTCCATTTGCATTAGGAAAACACTTCCACTGCCTCTCTGGCAATCGTTCACCTCATTCTGTGCTATTTATACCTTTGGATACTTCTGAGCTGTCATCTTATTTTCAATACCTCTATTTTTTATCGTTCTTCCAGAGAAGCCATCACCATTCAGTAAAAAAGATAACACCAACGCTTTTTAATATGGTCAATAAGCTTGGGGTTTTTATTCCTCATTATTATTTTAAATAAGTATATGAAAAAGAAGTTTGAAAACTTTTGCTGTCTAGTATGAAATGTTTACAGTTTGCAGACCGCAACTGCATTTCAAGCAAATTCTCTTGCAAACACTATGTATTTTATACAATAGCAGTGCAATTTGTTATGTATAGATTGATCGTCTGGCTACAGGCAAACTTTGAAAGTTTTCGCATACATACAGTGCTTTTATTTTAAGCTTATTAGTGGCTTTAGATACAGAATTCAGATTTGTATTGAGGCTTCTTCTGTATGCCTGGTGGATGAGCATTGCATAAACAACACTGGTGCATAGCCCTGAAAGAATCCATTCTAATGCTTGCCTCAAGATGTTAATTGCAAGAACATTGGAAACTCAAAGGCAAATAAAATAACAAGTGTATTTGTGCCAACAGAATCTGTTTTGTTTGTTGCTCGTTCAGTATTAGGTATTCAGCAAGATACATGACTGGCAGAGACAAAGTTTATTCTTATTAGTCATAGAGAAGAGTGGATATTTATTACTGAATAAACTCTGACTTTTGACATTCTCAAAACCTCCAGCTCCATAATGATGTGTTGGAGCTAGCTGCGTTGGCTTGACTGCTTATTATACCTATGCTGGCAGAGAAAATTAACATCGTAACTTATGTTGTTGCTTTGCTTTGTGTATTATGTTGACATACATATGTGTATATTTCTATTCCTGTCCTTGGGAACGTTTTACAACCAGGCTTAGTTCCCTGTGTAAATGTATTTGACTGGTGATGCTTGATCCTCCAGGATCAAGCTGTCTGTCTCATTGAAGGTGTCACTTTCACCAGAGTGATTGGCATTTTTTACTCTGTGTAGCCGAGACTGCAGTCGTTCATGTTCTTTTCTCAACTCCGAGTAGGAATGGGAGAAAGTGTGGAATATTGATGTTGCCGGAAAAGACATGATGAGAATCCCACTGAGGATGCTGCTCAGAGCCACCATCTGGCCTGGGATGCTCCGTGGTACCATATCTCCATACCCCACAGTGGTCATTGAAATGATAGCCCACCAGTAAGAAGCAGGTATGCTTGTAAATTCAAGCACCTTCCCAGATTCATTCTCGGCGAGATAGACCAAAGGAGAGAACAGAGTGACAGCCACGCATAAGAAGAGTAAAAGCAGGCCAAATTCCCGTGTGCATCTCCGAACTGTGAGGCCCAAAGTCTGCAAGCCCAAGGAGTGTCGGGCAAGGCGCATTACATACAAGATCCTCAAGGCACGTAAAACCCGTAGCACCAAACCAACCTTCTCCAAATATGTGTTGCTGCTTGGCCTGTCATCCTCCTCATTTGAGTCATCCTCTGAGAAGATGAGGGAAATGTAATAGGGTGAAATGGCCAAGAAGTCAATGATATTTAGGGGTCCTTTGAAGAACTGACACTTGCTCTTTGCCTGAATGAATCGGAGGCAGAACTCCAGGGAAAACCAAGCCACACAGATGGTCTCTATGACGAAGATGTAATAGCACTTCTGGGAACACTCGCCCTGACACAAAACAAAAAGAGAATTAAATAAAAGAACAGTGTGTGAACTGGCATCCAAAAGCACTAAGGAAGAAGCAATATGTATCTGCTTGAGTCACTGGTATCAGAAATGAACAAATCCCAGCTAGCAGGTGTCGTACGGCAGCCATCTTTTAATGGTGTATAGATGATAATGAGCATGTGAAGTATCTGAATGAGCAGAAATATCTACCTGCTTATTTTTATTATGTTGCTTCTTCCAGTCTAAATGAATGAAACTCGTCTCTGTATAAAGTCTCGGCATGCAGCCTGTAAGTCCCAAATGAGTCCTACTTTCTGCTCTCAAACAGAAATTAATCTAAACTTGACTGGTTTATAAGCCTGTACAAAAATCAGTTTCTCTTTGAAAGAAAGATTAATGTTTGAATGTCTCTGTAAACTTCTGGTGCTGTTCAATGCATGGTACTTTCACAAATGCTCTGTACTCTGGTGCAATTAAAAGTGGTTCAAAGATATTCATTAAGTCATCTGCATCCTTGGCTCAGTTATGCCATGTATGAATCATGTTTCTTTCTGTACATGCAAATGTTTTAATCTAAAGGAAAATAAATATCCACCCAGTAGGTGAAACTTGCCTTGAAGAATCCTCTCCCAGTATTGAGGCCACACGCTACAAGCAGTATTTTCTCAGTTTTGTTATCAAAGGAATTGCTTTAGTTGAATTACCTTGGATTCACATTTTTTATTTTCCTGAGCTGAGCTTAAAAAATGAAACTTCTTTCGGCCTATTCCAGTGAAACGAAGAGGCAAATGTCAATTAACTCGTAATTATTGGGGTAAGCAAGAGACTACATTGAGCTTTGTCCTTTAGTGATGAGCGGCCACTAGGTTACATCCATGCAGAGAGCGAGCTAACAGATGGACACATCGGTTACAGGGACTGAGGTGTACATACTGCCTCCTTCATATGCACAAGTGTCTGCTTACTGTATTTCAGCTGGCAGAAAACAAACCAGGTCCTGCCACCATTTTTTGCCTTATGGAAGATAAGAAATAGCAACGAAAGCAGCATGTACTGCTTAGCAGCTGGACACCTCCCCCTGAAAGGAACACATTGTTTTTAAATACTGGTGTCACTGCTTTCTTACACACCCTATCCATCCTATTGATAAATACATTCCTGTACCTGTCCAGAGAATTAATATGTTCTTAAGAAACCTGGTCTTGTGATTGGACTAATGCTGTTTTTTTGCTTTTAAGCATTGTGAATAAGTTTATTGAAGAATTCCACCTAACAGATACTTGTATGATATTTTCACAGTGGCATGCTGCTATTTACATTAAGTTCTTGCATGGGTGCAAATATTTGGATTACAGTTCTAACCCAAAACCGGTTCAAGTGAACTGGAGTCTTTCATGGACTTTGGCTGACTTTGAAGCACCCTTGTGTGCTTTTCTTTGCTGAGCACGTTATCAAAACACTGGCATATGAAGTGTACGGGGTTTGGATTTTTGGTGAAGATGAGAAATCTCAGCTATAACTGGGAACCAGAGAAAGGGATTCACTAGTATTGCGATGCTTTGAAATTCCAGGCTGGACTCTGAATATGGGTTGTCACTGCATTTGTTCCAGAAAACACAAATGGAGAAGGTGGTAATTTCATTTTAGATTCTTAAGCTGCTTGAAAGTTAATATTTAGCAAATAGCTCTTTCCAGCTACAACTTTGGTACATGAAGGCTTTGCAAGGTTAAAGAGTCTTCTCCCTGTATTCTTGCTGAACAGGGACTTGCATCTCTGAGATGTTCACACCTGCAGAAGATCAAGCAGAACTGGGGATGATGAAGGAGGATCTGTGCAGAGAAAGAACCTCCTTTTGGGAGAGCGGAGTGGCCATGTGTTATTCAGGAATAACTGCAGACTCTTGGTTCGTGAAAGGCTTTTTTGTAACCTCTGTAGAATGAAGTCAGGGCTGCTGTATGCATCTTTCCTGATAGCCTGTCTCTGAAATTAAGCAATTTAGAGGAATAGTTCCTCATATAGTGTTACCCATTCTCAGCCAAATTTCATGAGCAATATTGATTAAAAACACCATGGGAAACACATACCTCTACTACTAATTAAACTTACTACCAATGTTCAGTTACCCTCTGCATTGCAATGCGATGTTGGTTTTTTAGAGCGTCCCTTGTAATAGAATTACTGCTATTCTTGGGAGTAACAGTGTTTTTGTTCAAGCAGCGTTTATATCATTGGCTATCTGAGGTTCCCCAGGTAAAATGGTAACATATCCTTTACATATATATTCTACCCTGTCTAGCCCTCAGAACAACTTAGCTCTGTAGCACCGTTTGGGGATTTTTCCTCTTTCTGAACAGTAGACTGTCAAGATCATAATTTATCTCTTAAAGTAAACATCACAAAAGGTAATGCAGACTTGGCCCTGCTAGAGTTACGCGTGCAGGATCAGGCTATATAGCCCCGTTTGAAGTCATTGCCATGGCAGTGCCGAGAGTGCATTGAGGTTTGCAGAGCTGCTGACTTGGCTTGATGAGATTGCTTGCAATCAAGCAGTTGTGTTAGGCAGTGTTCACTTTTTCTGAGTCCTAAATTATTTGTACAGTGCAGCCTGGACTCTGCACAGACCTGCCTGTGGTCACTCTAGTGATGTGGCTTGTGAATTATTCATTGTTCGCATCAAGATTTATTTTATTTTTTGTTAACTGGGCTGAATTTCCAGTACATCTGTTACTTATTTACCTTTATACATTTACAGGTGACATTGCTGTCAGATCATCATGTAGCTTTCACTATTCCTTCCTTGGAAAACACAGGAAAAGAAATTTTGTTTGCTGGAAGTTTTAACCATTAAGATCTAGGGTGTCTTTTGAATTGAGTGTGAAATTTTAAGGTGTAGCATTGTAAGGACTGGTTGGGAGATTTTTTTCTTCTCGCCGTCATCGCTTGCCTCAGTATTCCCCGTGTAAAGTTATATATATTTAGAGAAAGCAATTTGTGCAGTCAGCTTCTTAAATGCGTATTTCATTTTTCAGAAGAGCATCCTTCAAATCAAACTTTTCAGAAATGTTACTGTGCATTTTATTTCTCCTTTGTGCATAGCTGTGGTTGTAAAGGACAGTGAGTTCTCCCCTGTTAGCACACTTTGTCTTTTTTATGTACTTTGCAAAAGACATTTCAGAAATGTTTGCATATGATTCAAACCACAGTCCCTTTTTCTGCTGCAGCAAACAAAAGAGTGACGATATCACAGTCTCTGAGACTGTGACTAATGCAGAGAATTCTGTGCTTCATTTTTTTCGGAAGAGACAGAAAAAGAAGGATGTGTTTGCTTCAGATATGCCTACACTACATGAAGGCATGCAGCAAAAACACCCTGATTCTCTCAGAGGGAACTGATTTATCCATGCAGCACAGGAGTTCTGTATGGAGGTGACTAACTCGAGCCCTAGCAATAATGCAGCTGGACTACCATCTCGCAGCAGGGCCATTTCATTCCATTACCTAGTGCAGACGTACCATGATTTAGTCAGTCCATATACAACATCTGCCAGAAACTTCCAAGCCTCTTTCTCTGCCTGTCTCTGTTTTGCTGTCACCAGTGTCTGGAAAGAGAGTGTAAGACCCTGGCTCTATGGTATTTAATGAGAACATGTTCATTGATTTCACATTGGGAGATAGATTTCATCCAGTGAGTTTGTATGTGAATGTTTTATATATTAGGAATATTTGTATATATTACATTATATGTGTGATATGGTTTATAGAGAATATCCCTCTCTAATGTCAGTCTCTTTGAAAATTCTTGATCCTTTTGAACATCCTGTTCAAAAGCAGTGAATATTGGAATAAGAGGGAAAAAGAGGAAATATTAAGTACCAAAGCAAATCTCTGTTTCTCCCAGTATTTTTGATGATTTTTAGACCTCAGAGTGCTTTATGTTCCACTTAACAACTGTTGTCCGAAGAGCAGGCAGAATAACATACTGACTTCAAATACTATGTTCTTACCAAAATACGGATGCCTCTACGTCAGTGGTAGATTTCAAATTTGCTGTCATCACCAAATGTCTGTTGGCTGTTAGTTTCTTTCAGTGAACTGTCAAATTATGGCCCAAATACTCTGATCCATGAAAGGGTTTTTTTCCATAAATGGCCAATAAAGGAATTTCTGCGCCACAATGACTTCTATATATTTCCTCTTTCTGAACAAAGCAACCACATTTGGGAAATTCTAGTGATCAGTGCCTGCCAACACAAAACACAACAACCAACTCCCTCTCTTGACCTCACCATTAACTAGAGCAGAATTCTGAGCTTTTATTTTGAGATCTTTGAGTCAAATTTGTCACTGGCTGCTTTCTTGTCTTGTCTGCGTTTTTGCACCCAAAGTACCATGGTGTAGTGGAACGTATAAAAGCTCCAAGCCAGTATGGTGTTGACTGTGAACAGGAGGGAAAGATGAGGTTTTATTTATAACTGACCACAACATATTTTGGGTGGGCTTTTTCAACAAAACCCTCTGACATGTTTTACACTACCGTAGCATCAATCAGTACTCAAACTATCATTGACTCTGACGAGAGAACAGTTATCACAAAGCCAGTGGTGAGTGAGTATCTAACTCTTTATACTTTATTCATCCTGAAGATTTAGTTTTGAACAATGCAAGAATTTATCAGGATTTATGGAACTCGTCTCTAGCTGAAATTCTACAACGTATGATATAAATGTAATAAAATGAGCGCCTGGTATTGATCTTGCGTTTGAAAAGAGCACTTGGCTCAACAATGAAGGAAACAATATTTTGTATGTAAACAGATATACTGAGCCTGATGCCTGAAATATTGAGTGATTTCTTAAATTTATAAACCACCTCAAAGAAGCAAAGTGGCTGTTTCAAACTTCTGTACCACCAGAGATAATAAGCAATTCATGCTTCCTTTTCGTTATTGCCTTCCGCTGTATAAGGCAATGGCTCATTTTCTGGGTTCTCTTAGGCGTTG